CCATGCACTGGGAAAATGAGCACCCAAGACAGACATGGTTGTCTTTTGTGGTCAGTGCCACTACGGTTTCTCAACTGGACTTATGCAATAACCTCCAAGTCAGTCTCCCTTCCCCTGCCTTTTCTCCCCCAAACTGTCCTTCCTCTCTAAAGCTTCAATCAGTGCCTATCACTCCCTCGCCGGCAATGGCTTCCCCTTTCACTTAGAATAACTCCAAGTTCTACCCAAGACCTGCAATGCCCTTTCTATCCGGCCGCAGCCTCCCCGCCAGACTGCAACGCCCTCTTCTCCTGCCCTTGTTTCCTGAACTCTGGTCACTCCAGCCCTCTCGTTGAACCTCAGACACGTCGAGTACCAGCCTAACTCTGGGCACCTGATGTGCCTGCCACAGGACCTCTCCTCCCTCCGATCTTCAGCTCCTGCTCATCTTTCAAGCGTCCAGTCCAGTTTCACCTCCTTAGGGATAACCAGGTCACCCTCTGCCATGCTCTTCCTGACACTCTCTACCACATCACCCACGTCCACTTTCCCCAGAGTGACTGTTACTGCCCAAGAGAAGGTATTGACTGACTGACTGAATTGGATGCAATGCTAGAATGTGAACTTGGCGAGGCTTTATCCTCTGCCCTACGCCACATGGTCAAACCAGTGCCTGGCAGGCTCCGGTTGGTGCCCCACACATTTTTATTACAGATTGACTGATTTTTGACAGAGGGAGGGAGAGAAAAAAGATGACGGCAACTCTAAGCAAGCAGGGCCACTCACAGCTCCACAGATCTGGCCACCTCAGCTGGCAAAGGACACTACCAGGCAAGATACTGGGCAGGCGCAGGGGGAGCGTGTGATGGGCACGCGATGAGCAAAGTCAGCAATAGCACGTATGGCCTTGCAACCGGAAGCAGGAGAGAGACATTTCCTTTTGTGGCGTCACGTGTATGTGCATAATATTTATTTATCTTCTGTTTCCTTTCCTCCCCCACCTCCTTCCACTATGACGATAAGGGGTGTGCTGCTTAAATTTCCCTCTGGGTATACAGTGGAAAAGGCACTGCAACTGAACTGGAGAAGAAACAGCTACCACTCAGGGGGGCCTAGACTCAGCGCTGTTTGCAGTAACTGACGAGCCTCTGGGCTGTCTTCCTCGAGGGGAGGAGTGAGAGTGTCCTTAATTATACATGGAATAGGTGCATCATGTCAGAATGACATTTAAGGAAAAAAAAATGAACACCCTCCACCCTGCTTCATTTTCCTTTATGGAACCACCTGCCCTGTTAGAGAGTCACTTGTTAATTCATTATCCCCACACTGGAATGTAAGTGATTTAAGGACTTTGTTCTGTTCCCTGATGTCACCCGGCACGTGGTAAGCACTCAGTAGTTACTGGACATATGAATGAATGAATGAATGAATGAATGAATGAACGAACGAATGAATGAATGAAGAACCTGTCCAGAATCTATTTCTATTTCTAATACTACTTGGATTTCCTCTAAGGGGAATGACTTCCTTTCCACTGTGTCCAGCCTCAGTGGCAGGGTACCATGTACCTGCCTCCCAATATGAAGGCAAAGGATCTCTGGAGGCCCCCAGCCCTTCTCCCTGTTCCAGTGCCACCAGGCGGCAGACACCTCACTTAAGCTTCAGGAGTTGATTTCCCTACCCTGGGACTTTGACTCTTGAGCGACACAAGGAATGGCTGGCCCTTCATTCATTCCTATGCCTTCCTGTTACGTGTGTCCCTTGGCTTCTTCCAGGTGGTTCCTTGGCTCCCAGGAACAACCCTGAAGGTCATCTATTTCCTAGACTGGTTCTCCAGCCATTCTTTCAACTCTGGGGACATCAGACACCCTTCCAATAAATTTCCTTTTTGCTTAAGCTGGTCAGAGTTCATTTCTGTTCCTTCTCAACAGAAGAACATTAAAGCCAAAACAAAACACTATTACAGAAAGCACAGAAATCAACTGTTTGTATGTATACAGGGTTGTTGGAGGAGAAATCACCTACAGTCCTTCCATCCTAACCAAACCATTTTCATTTTTGCATATTCCTGTTAAATCTTTGAACATTTGTGTTCACGTCGTGTATTGTTGCAATTGTGGTATACGTTATAGGTTGAACTACGTCCCCTGTATGGATGCTGAAATCCAAACCCCCAGTACCGTCAAAGTAACCCTACTAGGAAATAAGGTTTTAGTAGATGATCAAGTTAAAAGGAGATTATTAGGGTGGGCCCTAACTCAAGGACAGGGAGAAAGCCACATGAAGGGGGAGGCAGGGATGAAGGCAATACATCTACTTGCCAAGATGTAAGGCACCCGAGACAACTGGAAGCTAGGATGGGGGCTGGCAGAGACTCTGCGACCCTGTGCTCAGAAGGAACCACCCTGACAATGCCTTCCTCTCACTTCCAGCCTCCAGTGCTGAGACACAAATTTCTCCTACGTAAGCCACCTGGTTTGCGCTACTGAGTTACAGCAGCCTTAGCAAACTCATACACTACACATGATTTTATTTTCCATTTTTCTTCTCACTTTAAAATTGTAGCCGTCTCTTTTCTTGCTGTTGCAGGGTCTTCCTATCTATGTTGTAAACTGTTGTGAGGTGATGACCCACGCAGCTCCCCAACTCACTAATCTGCTATGACTAAACATTTACTTTGCTTTGACTTTCATGCCATCACAATGTTGTGAAGAGTATCTTGTGCATATAGCTTTCTTCCTCCTTTTGGATGACTTTCCGAAAACACACCACCAGGGGTAGATGACAGGATCAGAGGGGATGAACATGAGGCCCAGCGCTGAGTGGCTTTGCAGGAGGAGGACAATGACTGCTCACTGTCTCCAAGGGCACACAAGTGAATGAATTTTGAATTCTGAATGCGAAGAACACTCACATAAGGTAATGGGAAAGCGAGCTCTGAAGGGAGAAAAGAGAGGAACAGGCGGGAAGTGAGAGTCGGGTTGCCTATAAACTCATTTAAGGAATTGGGACTTAATTCTAATAGTGGGAAAGAGTTGAACATGAACAGTGACTCTGACTAGAGTGGATGAAAGCTTGGCCTGAGGAAGTAATGGGGAGGCTGTGAAGGGAAGGGTTAAGGAACCTGACAAGCAAGGCGACCCTGAGAGCCAAAGGATGGGATTTAGTGACTCCCTTAGGAGGGGAGTGAGGACTCCTGGATGTCCAGCCTCCTCGGTTGAGGGCCTGACAAAGGCATGAGATATTCACAAATTTCTTCAAGCTCCACCTGCAAGTCGCACTGTAAATCCTCCCAGTATACATGACACGAGTTAGAAACTATCACAACACAACTAGGGGTGATAGCATTTCCTCACCATTCACCAATGCTCTGAATTTTCACCACCAAGTGTGACCCTCCTGGGACATGGTTCTCAACGATTCCTGTCAGAATCCAGCATTGACCTTCTTGTCACCATTTCTGGTCACTAGCCATCATCCTCTTCTACCTGTCCTTAGAAATGCCTCCCCTGACCAGGGAGTCCATACCTCCTTGTTCTTTCCCTTCCTTGACCCATCCTGTTCCCTCTCCGCCTGTCCCTGGAATTTCAGTCTTTCAAGAGACACCCTCCACCTTCATCAAGGCTGTTGAAACCTCACCCCTTCTTACAGATTCAGTCGCCTCCCTCAAGTGCACACCACCGCACCCACACAGCAAGGTGGTAGCATGGCTGAGGCAGCAGCCATGCTCCCTAATGCCCAGCTCTTACTCTTGTGCTCATCGCACGGTATTCACTTCTAAAAGTAAGACAGGAAATCCTGCCGTTGGAGCTATAATCATTAGAGTTTGCTGCACTTCTTTAAAGAGTCAATACAGTTCAGTGGTTAAAAACGAACCACTTGGTATGACAAGTTCTATTTGTAGATTCAAACCCCATTTCTGCCCCCATCCTGGGTTAGTCACTTAGGGCAGTCTATCCCTGTATACCTGGGCTTTTTCATCTGTAAAAACGAGGATAATAATACCAATACCATAATACCAATAATATCAATAATACCAACATGGCAGGTAGGTACAAAGATCAAATGAGCTAATACATCAGAACACATTCAATAAATGTTAACTCATTACACTTGTCCAGTGCACAACAGGCCACGCCACTCATTATCTGACCAGCTGACTGGCACCAACATGAATATTAGTGTAAGGGAAGATTTTCCTTTTTAAGAATGTAAACATCAGGGGTGCCTGGGTGGCTCAATCGGTTAAGCATCTGCCTTTGGCTCAGGTCATGATCTCGGGGTCCTGGGATCAAGCCCCGAGTTGGGCTCCCTGCTCAGTGGGGAGCCTGCTTCTCCCTCTCCCTTGCTCCTCCCGTCCCCCTTGCTTGTGCTCACTCTCTCTCTCACATTAATAAAAATCTTTTTAAAAATTAAAAAATAACTATGGTGAGTGCTGTAAAGTGTGTAAACCTGGCGATTCACAGACCTGTACCCCTGGGGATAAAAATATATTATATGTTTATAAAAAATAAAATTAAAAAAAAAATTCCATTTATTTAAAAAAAAAAAAAAAGGACGTAAACTTCATTCCAAAAACGTGGTATTAATTCAAATCACTGAGTGTTTACCAGGTAAGCACAGTAGCTCTGTATTAGACAAAGTTTTCTCTGGTGTTCAAAAAGGCATCAGTGAGTCCCAAACACCCAGAAAGAGCCTCAAAAAGGTTCAGACAAATGCGCCAAATCCATTCTTAGCTCTCCAACTACAGGAACTTAGGTACACAGACACGAGGGGAGCAACTTCTCAAACAGGGTCATGATGACACAGAGCACCCGCCCCAGAGGGCTGACGACGCCTGGAGGCCTGCATGTGCAGCCCCTGAGATGAGCCCTCCTCACTCCAGGGGAAAAAACGCCCTGACCCAGAGGCAGCGGAGAGGGGCCAAATCGAATGGGTTTCACAGGAAACAGTCCAACTGAGGACTCTACACCAGTTTCTGGAAAGGGAGCCCCCGAACAGGGAGGGCCTGGGAGACTCACCATTGGAAGCTCGCTTCTGCCGCCGGCGTCCCACGCGGTCCAGCCCAATGGGGGTGCTCTGGGAGAAGGTGAAGGGCCGGAGGCGGGCCGAAACCGCCTTGTAGGGCAGCACCCGGTGGGCTGGCACAGGAGGCCTGGCTGCTGGCTACAAAAGGAAAGCAAAACGCTGTGAGGGGATGCCAGGAAGTGGCACCTCCCGCAGAGCTCTTCACAGGCACAGCTCTGAGCAGCTTGGCCCTGTCACCTCCAAACCACTCACACACAAGAGACGCTGTCTCCAAATCGTGGCAAGGGCTTCAGGCTGCACCCAGGCAAGGCTGCAATGACTTCTTCCAAGATTTTAAACCACCAGTATCAACTCAAGGGCTCTTACCTCCCGGCAACACATTTCATGTCACTTGTCAGCAATATACCAGGGGTAACACTCAGTAAAAGCAAAGCGTCAAGAAGAGGAGAAGCAGATTTAGGAAGTGGTGGCTTTCTCACAGGGGCGGAGCGGAAGGGTAAGAAGACGTTTTCCAGCAGCAGCCTTCCGGGGAAGCAGCCGTTCCTGGATGACGGACTTGGACCGGCATTCCCGCCCTGCACATCCACGTGCAGGCACTACGTAAGTATTTATGGGAGACAAATATTCCTTACCTCAACTAACATGACAACTGAGCCATGTTAAAAAGAAGAGTTGGTTTTCTGCTTTCCACAAATTTACCCAGCTCTCTTCAGAATCACCTTTGTGCCCTGTTGATGTTTCCACGTGAACCATCTCTACAAATCGAAGGCCACGCTGGCTTATGCTTTCCTTAGTTTTTCTTTGTATTTTCCCACCTATTTCCCTAAATGAGCCTTCAAGTGTACAAAGTGCCCTTATCACATTCCTTCTTAACGCTCTGAAGGGAAATAACTTCTAAGTGCTTTTGATTTTCCCCATACTGTGTTTCAAGTTAAAACAGATTGCAGTCTGCTTTGGTTCAGAATTATTTCCTAGTGTATTGCACATGTTAATACCACAGAAAGTTCCTAGGATTCTTCCACTTCATTTTTTTTACCTTCAGAATGCAATTCAGTTTAACTCAATTTAACAAGAGGAATTTGAGTGCTTGCTATAAACAAGGCATTAGGCTGGGCTTTACAGGGAGAATGTAAACATAAAATCCAATACTAACATAGATTCCCCCCTCCCTTTTAAGAGAATTTTAGGAGTTATTGATGATACCAGCTAGCAAGCTCAAAAACTGAAACTTGGTGCTCACTCAAACTGTTCTGGGAACCCGTGACCATGGCTGGGTCTCACCAAATAACATATACTCCTCCTGAGCAGGGCCTTTATTTAAATGTTTTGTAGCCTCAAAGTGCTCTTTGGGTAACTGATAAATACTTGTTGAAATACTAAGGGGAAAATAATAAGGATTTTTAGTCTATTGATAAAGTAGTTGCAAAGCAGCAATTTGAATGTAAAGAGTTAAAAAAATGGTAGGTAAGTGATTCCCTTAGCTTCTAAAAAACCACTTTCTTATTTTCTTCTTATCTTTACTTTTTAACATTGGAGGACACTTTCTCGTTCAAGAACTTTCAAGAAGCTCACTGAATATGCACTGTTACCTTCCCCTTATTAAGATCTCAGGTGATTTAGAACAGCACACTAGTTTCACATATTGTTTGAGACTCCAGGAAAGACAGATTAGTAAAAGGCATCCGCATGTCAGATGGTAAGTTAATTCAGGAGTGTTTTCAGAGTCAGGAAGAAAGCCTGGGAGTCTGTTGTCCTTGAAGCAGAGAGAAGAAAGAAAAGCAGCAGTCTGTTTAGTTCACAGGGGAGAACAAAGGCCAGGAAGCTGGAGGGCTCTGTTAGCTTTGGTAGAAGCAGCCAGGTCTTACTTGGGTCAGAAGACTCTCAATTTCCTCTGTCGGGCGGTTCCCATAGAAGCTGACGCCGCCTATCACAGATATGGGGCGTCTTCTCCAGCTTCCTTTGGGGCAGCCCACAGCAGCGCTCCGGTCTGCAGTGTCGCTCTGGTCTGTAGTGTTCGTGGAGGCCGTGTTGGGCAGGTGGTCTCCCTCCATAGAGTCTTCTTTCTGGGGGTCTACAGCAATTGAGTCTTCAGGAATAGACAGACTCCGGTTGGCCAGCTGGCCATAGTCGGAGAGAGGTCGGGGCCTTGCTCTTCTCCCAGAACCCCATTTCCTCCTGGTGATCCTCTGAGACTCCGTCCTTTCTTCATCCCGAGATGAGTCCCGCCTCCAGGATTCCTCTGTCACAACCTTTTCAAATGCGAACAAGTTAGGTGAGCACCCAAATTCAGGAAGGTATTGAAAAGGAACAAGTCATACACGCCCTCCCATCATCTTCAGCCCTGCCTTAAGGCCTTCTTGATTTACTTGTTTTTAAAAAGTTATTTCTGTAACAGGAAGACAAAACTGAAATGTGCATTAAAATAAGCAATTCATCTTTAACTGGAAGCTGAATTAAAACCATAATTTAAATAGTGATGTGTGGTGAGCAAGGATGAGCTATGATAAAAGATATTAAGAAAATCAGTACCATTGTGAGTTGTTAGAAGTACTTTAACTATGGTTTCACCCAAAATAAAATATAAAATATACATAACAATAGCACAGGGAAATGCAGGACTCTAGAAGGGGAAATGAATATGTAATGCTTTTACAAAGCTCCTCTGAGGTATTTTCTTGCAATAATCTTTAAAAAACAGAAGGTGCTTTAATAAGATGAAGTTTGGGCTGTGAGGGCCAGACACTGAAGGAGTTAGGTCTGGTGAGAAGAGCACTGAGCAAGGATTCAGAGAACTAGATCAGGCTACTAACTAGCTGTGACCCAGGACAAGTTAACAACTAACCATTCAGGACTAGACAATCCCACAGCTGGGTAGTCTGTGGTCCTAAACACTTTTCAAATTGTTCAAATACTTTTTTCGGAGGCGACCTAATGCACCAGCAAAAAACCACGAGGTTGGAAATGAACAGTCTGCTGTGTAAGTCAGCCTGGGCCACAAGCTGGTTTTGTAACCTTAGGCCAGTTACTTAAGGTCTGTGGATTTGGTTCTGCAGCTGTTCACTGGGGAATAATGAGTCCTTGTGTGGATGAAACGCTATACCAATGATAACTGAGATAGCCCTTATCAGCCACAGTTAATTATTGCTCTTAAAAAGCAGTGTGTGGAATAACCATGCCCAGGTTCAGCCCTGCCTGCAGATAACCTCTATGTCAGCACACCCCTCAAAGTCTGGGTTCAGAGGAGGGCTGCTGCCTAGTTCCACAGGAGGTTTCTCCCACCCCTAGTTTTTTTTTTTTTTAATACATTTTTTTTTTAAAGATTCTATTTATTTATTTATTTATTTGGGAGAAAGAGAGAGCAAGCACAAGCAGGGGGAGAGGCAGAGAAAAAGAGAAAGGGATAAACAGACTCTCCGCTGAGTAGGGAGCTCAGTGCCGGGATCATGATCTGGGCTGAAGGAAGATGCTTAACATACTGAGCCACCCAGGTGCCCCCCTGGTTATTATTCAAAAATAAAATAAAAACTAAAACCACTCCAGGGCCTGGGGAAAAGAACAAGAACAAGGAGAGTTGTACTTGAGGGCAGGACAGGCAGAGCAGGCCACCCAGGCCTGGAGGCTGGCAGCAGAACTGCCCCAGACAGCCCAGCCCTGCCCCCAGGACTGGTCCAACAGGTCATGCTGCTTGCCAGTCAGTGGCAACCAAGAGCTCAAACACAGTTCCTGTAATTTCCAATCCCATGTGCCTCAATGGTCCCTAAGATCATACACAGCTGACTTCTGAGCAACACAGGGGTTTAAAGTGCCGACCCCAGGTGCAGTCAAAAATCTTGTTAACTTTTAGCTTCCCCCAAACTTAAGTACTAATAGTCTACTGTTGGATGGAAGTCTTACAGATAATAGTCAATGAACACGTGTTTGGTATGCTATACATAGTATATACTGTGTTTTTATAATAATGTAAGCTAAAGAAAAAAAGATGTTATCAAGAAAATCACATGGAAGAGAAAAGATATTTAGCATATTGAACAGTATTAAAAAAAAAATGCCATGTGGAAGTGGACCCACACAGTTCAAACCTGTGTTGTTCAAGGACCCGCTGTACTATGAAAAATCAATGATGAGCAAAGAAAGCAGAAAGGAATTTACAGACACTCTACTGCACTGCCATCATTTTTCAAATTAGGAAAACGAAAACCCAAGTAAGGTGACTTGCCCAGGGCCACAAAGCCCACACACAGAATGACATGGAAATGTGGGTCTTGAAATATCTGTTCCCACTGTACCAAGTCACCTCTGCTCAAAAGCTAGTAAGTTCTAGCAGTCACTGCTTACCTTGCTGTTGCTTCTGACTGCAAAGAACTTCATATTAAAATCAAGTCACCGAGGGGTCTAGAATATACCACTGTGCCACCGAAACTCTTCTGAGCTCAAGGTATTCAAGAATAAACTCCCCCCCCCAACTCCCTTATCTGCCTGAAAGCAGAGCCTCCCCAAAGAACTCCGTGTCATAAATCCACTCTCTTGAGATAGGATTTTTGTTCTTCCAACCGGGGAAGATGTGGCTCTTATCAGCTGAGAAGAGAATCCCTGGCCTCAGTAGCCGGTGGCCACACAAAACTATCAGACCTCCCATTCATCTTTCCTAAATCACTGGGTTTCCCCTAAGTGCCCTTCTCCACCTCCCCTTCCCCAAGTAAGAAAGTATAAATGCCCCCAATTCTAACCACTTCCTGGAGTCACTTTTTCCTGTCAACTCCCACTTACCCACATGAATGAAAACCTGTCTTTTCTCATCTGTCTTTTGTCAGTTCCATTCCACAACCAACCCCCCCCTCCACTTAGTAAGCCAAAGAAGATAGAGAAAAGGGGTTTCCTCTCTGACACCATCACCAGGAAAATATGAGAAATCATGAAAAAGTTAATATTCTTTGCATTACATATGAAAAACAGGATATTATGGAGAGTTTAACTACATTATTAAACTCAGTGGCACAATTTAACCACACAAGAATAAGCCATTTATGTTATCACCCTGTGATAAAAAGGTTCAGAGACAAGGTGTTAGAAAACAGAAGCAAGACAAAATTACAGGCAAGGAGTAGTCTAACTGGTAACAATCTACGTGCATTTTTTTGAGTTTTTTTGTTGTTGTTCTTTGGGGTTTTATTATGGTTTTTTTTTTTTTTTTTCTTCACTTACGCAACAGGCAGCATGCCTCCCTGAAGGCTTGCTGATGCAGATAGGAAAATAAGGAAATGGGTGTCAGAAGACAGGAGGCGGTCTTAGTTGTTCAGGTAAGAAATCCTTCTGAGACCAAAACATACTCCAGAAGTGAGGAGGCTGGATGCTCAGGTATGCTCAGAGCAGGAAATGAGAGGGCAGGAGACGTGCACAGGATTTCTTTAACACATCATGCCTCAAGGGTCAACTCCTGTTCCCACCGGGGGGTACTCATAAGAACCGACTGTCATCCTCCTCCAAGAACTATTTACACAGTCCCACTGAACCTACAAAAGGAGAAAACAGCCTTTCCAAGTGGTACTGAATGTTTTAGGAAGTGCAAAAATTAGTTAACAGTCCGCTTTACTCCCAGCAAAAGAGGGAAGGAGGGACAGTGATTTACATTCCTTATAAAACAAATCTGAGCTTTGATGTGTATTCTAAAACTGAATCTTCTTTTGGCAAAGTCTGTGTACTTCTGGAATACAGCGGGGTTCATTCCAGGGAACAGAGTTTGAGGGATTATACCTGCAACTGCAAACCCCCGCCACAGCCCTGCCCCCACGCTCCACAAGTTCTAACCTACCCCGGACTCTGCTGCCACGGGCAGTGGTGGCCCACAGACACACTGAAGGAACAAGCAGTTGACCACATCCATGCTGTCTGAGCTTCCTTCTCGCCTTTACAACAGGACAGTGAGGGCATAAGTGGCCATGCCAGAGCTGTGTCTTCGGATGCTCCTCCTCACAACTGGGCAGCCTGGCCTTCAGGTCAGTCTGGCTCTAAGCTTGACTGGCCAATTCTCACCCAAGTCGTCAACTTCTGTAAACAAACTCTGCGGGGCGGGGCGCAGCTGCCCTTTTAACTCTTGCTTCTCTGTATCGTTTTAAAGTACTTTCCCTCATCAGGAGTCCTGAATTTTTCCTTTTTTTTTTTTTTTAAGAATTTATTTATATATTTGACAGAGAGAAAAAGAGAGAGAAAGCACAAGCAGGGATGGTGCAGAAGGAGAGAGAGAAGCAGGGTCCCCGATGAGCAGGGAGCCGGATGCCGGGCTGGATCCCAGGACCCTGAGATCATGACCTGAGCCAAAGGCAGACGCTTAACCCACTGAGTCACCTAAGAGCCCCAGGAGTCCTGAATTTCTTCTTCAAGATTCCTTTCTTTCCCTTACAGAAGTAAAAAGCCAAGCCAGATCTTCCCTTCAGGGAGACACTTCAAAACCCGTTTCTTTAGAAACCACAGCAAGAGTTGTTATTCACTAAGGGAAAAAGACTTACACACAAAGCCCTGATGTCACATATTCAGAAGCTTCATCAAGGCGAAGTTTCATGGATCAAATAGCAAGAGTGTGGGTTGAATTATGCCCCCCAGAAGGTATGTTGAAACCCTAACCCCCAGGACCTGTGAATATGATCTTATTTGGAAATACAGTCTTTGTAGATGAGATTGAGCTCAGATGAAGTCAGGCAGGATTTGGGGAACCCTAATCCAATGGCCAGTACCCTTAGAAATAGAGGGAAATTTAGACACAAAGATGAAAGTAAAGACAGTCCTATGAGGACAGAGGCAGAGAGCGGAGTGGTACCATCTATAAGCCAAGAAATCCCAGGCAGAGGCCAGAATGGATCCGCAGACTTCTGGCCTATACAATAATGAGGGTATATCCTCTTGTTTTGAGCCCCCTAGTTGGTGGCAATTTGTTCTAGTAGCCCTAGGAAACTCATACAGCAAAGTAATTCAGAAGTAAATACTACAAGCAGGGAAAATTAAGATGCTTTGGGAAGATGGAAAAAAAATTAACCAGAGCAGAGCTTTTCCAGCGTGTAAGCCAAAGGTATTCTCAAGATGTGCGCTGACCCAGTAAGCAAGCCTCCCACATTGCCTCAGCACCCTGAGCACTGTAGGGAATTCAGGGGCAGTCCCAGAACCAGAGGTGATACAAGAACGCATCTCGATAGAAGGCCAGCCATATGCTAGCAGTGACCACCGTGGCTTCTGAATGTCCCTGTGTACAGAACCACAG